GTGAGTGAGCGATTGACTGACTGAGTAACTGAATGCCTGACTGATTGACTGTGAGTGGATCTGTGTTTGTTTGATTGTGTGTTGCAGACTTATCACGACTCGATTGGTGTTTGTGATCAGGCGTCTTGCACCCACCCAACACATCCGACCACCATTCTGTTGTGCAACTGATATTAGCCCCGTGTGTAGGGCTGCCAAAGAAATCTTCGATTCTTGGTCGACGGTTCTTACCATGCAACAAATCACAAGAGTAAAACCGTGACGGTTAGCCCGACCAATTCACAGTCCACCAACCCTACCACAAAACAACACCTCACTCCCACTCATCCATTTGCAAATTAATCATCTCCGTCAACACAACCACCACTCGACAACAACAAACACAACACGAATCGCTCCTCAACACTACATTCAACACTACTCCATGTATACACGCCTACTGACAACCACTGAGAAACCACAATACACCAGACACTAACACCGATCTCAACAATAACCACTGCACTACACACACTACTCACAACCACGATTTATCAGTAGACAAGTAACGTCAACTAGCCTCATTCACACGAAACCCATTGTGAAACACACTGAATCAACCGTGTGAGTGAGCGATTGACTGACTGAGTAACTGAATGCCTGACTGATTGACTGTGAGTGGATCTGTGTTTGTTTGATTGTGTGTTGCAGACTTATCACGACTCGATTGGTGTTTGTGATCAGGCGTCTTGCACCCACCCAACACATCCGACCACCATTCTGTTGTGCAACTGATATTAGCCCCGTGTGTAGGGCTGCCAAAGAAATCTTCGATTCTTGGTCGACGGTTCTTACCATGCAACAAATCACAAGAGTAAAACCGTGACGGTTAGCCCGACCAATTCACAGTCCACCAACCCTACCACAAAACAACACCTCACTCCCACTCATCCATTTGCAAATTAATCATCTCCGTCAACACAACCACCACTCGACAACAACAAACACAACACGAATCGCTCCTCAACACTACATTCAACACTACTCCATGTATACACGCCTACTGACAACCACTGAGAAACCACAATACACCAGACACTAACACCGATCTCAACAATAACCACTGCACTACACACACTACTCACAACCACGATTTATCAGTAGACAAGTAACGTCAACTAGCCTCATTCACACGAAACCCATTGTGAAACACACTGAATCAACCGTGTGAGTGAGCGATTGACTGACTGAGTAACTGAATGCCTGACTGATTGACTGTGAGTGGATCTGTGTTTGTTTGATTGTGTGTTGCAGACTTATCACGACTCGATTGGTGTTTGTGATCAGGCGTCTTGCACCCACCCAACACATCCGACCACCATTCTGTTGTGCAACTGATATTAGCCCCGTGTGTAGGGCTGCCAAAGAAATCTTCGATTCTTGGTCGACGGTTCTTACCATGCAACAAATCACAAGAGTAAAACCGTGACGGTTAGCCCGACCAATTCACAGTCCACCAACCCTACCACAAAACAACACCTCACTCCCACTCATCCATTTGCAAATTAATCATCTCCGTCAACACAACCACCACTCGACAACAACAAACACAACACGAATCGCTCCTCAACACTACATTCAACACTACTCCATGTATACACGCCTACTGACAACCACTGAGAAACCACAATACACCAGACACTAACACCGATCTCAACAATAACCACTGCACTACACACACTACTGACAACCACGATTTATCAGTAGACAAGTAACGTCAACTAGCCTCATTCACACGAAACCCATTGTGAAACACACTGAATCAACCGTGTGAGTGAGCGATTGACTGACTGAGTAACTGAATGCCTGACTGATTGACTGTGAGTGGATCTGTGTTTGTTTGATTGTGTGTTGCAGACTTATCACGACTCGATTGGTGTTTGTGATCAGGCGTCTTGCACCCACCCAACACATCCGACCACCATTCTGTTGTGCAACTGATATTAGCCCCGTGTGTAGGGCTGCCAAAGAAATCTTCGATTCTTGGTCGACGGTTCTTACCATGCAACAAATCACAAGAGTAAAACCGTGACGGTTAGCCCGACCAATTCACAGTCCACCAACCCTACCACAAAACAACACCTCACTCCCACTCATCCATTTGCAAATTAATCATCTCCGTCAACACAACCACCACTCGACAACAACAAACACAACACGAATCGCTCCTCAACACTACATTCAACACTACTCCATGTATACACGCCTACTGACAACCACTGAGAAACCACAATACACCAGACACTAACACCGATCTCAACAATAACCACTGCACTACACACACTACTCACAACCACGATTTATCAGTAGACAAGTAACGTCAACTAGCCTCATTCACACGAAACCCATTGTGAAACACACTGAATCAACCGTGTGAGTGAGCGATTGACTGACTGAGTAACTGAATGCCTGACTGATTGACTGTGAGTGGATCTGTGTTTGTTTGATTGTGTGTTGCAGACTTATCACGACTCGATTGGTGTTTGTGATCAGGCGTCTTGCACCCACCCAACACATCCGACCACCATTCTGTTGTGCAACTGATATTAGCCCCGTGTGTAGGGCTGCCAAAGAAATCTTCGATTCTTGGTCGACGGTTCTTACCATGCAACAAATCACAAGAGTAAAACCGTGACGGTTAGCCCGACCAATTCACAGTCCACCAACCCTACCACAAAACAACACCTCACTCCCACTCATCCATTTGCAAATTAATCATCTCCGTCAACACAACCACCACTCGACAACAACAAACACAACACGAATCGCTCCTCAACACTACATTCAACACTACTCCATGTATACACGCCTACTGACAACCACTGAGAAACCACAATACACCAGACACTAACACCGATCTCAACAATAACCACTGCACTACACACACTACTCACAACCACGATTTATCAGTAGACAAGTAACGTCAACTAGCCTCATTCACACGAAACCCATTGTGAAACACACTGAATCAACCGTGTGAGTGAGCGATTGACTGACTGAGTAACTGAATGCCTGACTGATTGACTGTGAGTGGATCTGTGTTTGTTTGATTGTGTGTTGCAGACTTATCACGACTCGATTGGTGTTTGTGATCAGGCGTCTTGCACCCACCCAACACATCCGACCACCATTCTGTTGTGCAACTGATATTAGCCCCGTGTGTAGGGCTGCCAAAGAAATCTTCGATTCTTGGTCGACGGTTCTTACCATGCAACAAATCACAAGAGTAAAACCGTGACGGTTAGCCCGACCAATTCACAGTCCACCAACCCTACCACAAAACAACACCTCACTCCCACTCATCCATTTGCAAATTAATCATCTCCGTCAACACAACCACCACTCGACAACAACAAACACAACACGAATCGCTCCTCAACACTACATTCAACACTACTCCATGTATACACGCCTACTGACAACCACTGAGAAACCACAATACACCAGACACTAACACCGATCTCAACAATAACCACTGCACTACACACACTACTCACAACCACGATTTATCAGTAGACAAGTAACGTCAACTAGCCTCATTCACACGAAACCCATTGTGAAACACACTGAATCAACCGTGTGAGTGAGCGATTGACTGACTGAGTAACTGAATGCCTGACTGATTGACTGTGAGTGGATCTGTGTTTGTTTGATTGTGTGTTGCAGAATTATGACGATTCGATTGGTGTTTGTGATCAGGTGTCTTGCACCCACCCAACACATCCGACCACCATTCTGTTGTGCAACTGATATTAGCCCCGTGTGTAGGGCTGCCAAAGAAATCTTCGATTCTTGGTCGACGGTTCTTACCATGCAACAAATCACAAGAGTAAAACCGTGACGGTTAGCCCGACCAATTCACAGTCCACCAACCCTACCACAAAACAACACCTCACTCCCACTCATCCATTTGCAAATTAATCATCTCCGTCAACACAACCACCACTCGACAACAACAAACACAACACGAATCGCTCCTCAACACTACATTCAACACTACTCCATGTATACACGCCTACTGACAACCACTGAGAAACCACAATACACCAGACACTAACACCGATCTCAACAATAACAATCAGCACTACACACACTACTGACAACCACGATTTATCAGTAGACAAGTAACGTCAACTAGCCTCATTCACACGAAACCCATTGTGAAACACACTGAATCAACCGTGTGAGTGAGCGATTGACTGACTGAGTAACTGAATGCCTGACTGATTGACTGTGAATGGATCTGTGTTTGTTTGATTGTGTGTTGCAGAATTATGACGATTCGATTGGTGTTTGTGATCAGGCGTCTTGCACCCACCCAACACATCCGACCACCATTCTGTTGTGCAACTGATATTAGCCCCGTGTGTAGGGCTGCCAAAGAAATCTTCGATTCTTGGTCGACGGTTCTTACCATGCAACAAATCACAAGAGTAAAACCGTGACGGTTAGCCCGACCAATTCACAGTCCACCAACCCTACCACAAAACAACACCTCACTCCCACTCATCCATTTGCAAATTAATCATCTCCGTCAACACAACCACCACTCGACAACAACAAACACAACACGAATCGCTCCTCAACACTACATTCAACACTACTCCATGTATGCACGCCTACTGACAACCACTGAGAAACCACAATACACCAGACACTAACACCGATCTCAACAATAACAATCAGCACTACACACACTACTGACAACCACGATTTATCAGTAGACAAGTAACGTCAACTAGCCTCATTCACACGAAACCCATTGTGAAACACACTGAATCAACCGTGTGAGTGAGCGATTGACTGACTGAGTAACTGAATGCCTGACTGATTGACTGTGAGTGGATCTGTGTTTGTTTGATTGTGTGTTGCAGACTTATCACGACTCGATTGGTGTTTGTGATCAGGCGTCTTGCACCCACCCAACACATCCGACCACCATTCTGTTGTGCAACTGATATTAGCCCCGTGTGTAGGGCTGCCAAAGAAATCTTCGATTCTTGGTCGACGGTTCTTACCATGCAACAAATCACAAGAGTAAAACCGTGACGGTTAGCCCGACCAATTCACAGTCCACCAACCCTACCACAAAACAACACCTCACTCCCACTCATCCATTTGCAAATTAATCATCTCCGTCAACACAACCACCACTCGACAACAACAAACACAACACGAATTGCTTCTCAACACTGCCCATTTTCACACCTTCTTTAGTAAATTTTCTCACAGGTTTGCTTCGCCAATTTTTTCACTTCATATATTTGTGTCTATGTATATTTTCACCTATCTTCGTTTTTTGATTTATTTTAGGATTCCCCAAAAATCAACTGAAACATTCCACCTTTAAGAAATTGAGACAGAAAGGTTTGCATTTATGGCACGAGTAATACGTTTCCTCATAATAATATGAATGATTATTAAATCAGTTTCAATGAAATTGAATTCCAAATCAAAAACCAGCAAGAAACAAAATGTTCGTAAAAGAGGAAAACAACTACAACTACAACAACAATCTCGCTTCCAAACGAAGTATGCTTTCGAGTTACCACACCTAATTAGTAGGCATCAAAAATAGTAAAAATAAGAAATGGCATTTGGAAAGGTAATATAGACAACAAGCACTACATAACATCAATAACATACAATCAATGCATAAGTAACATGAAAGTGAAAATTAAAACAGAACAAAGGAATGAACGAGGTACAAGGTAAGATAGAAGGAAGAAGAATATTAGCGGTTCGATGAACGTTACGAAGTGCTATTGTAGTACAACTGCCGAAGTAGTTTGGCTTCTTGACTCATTACATCATGTGGTCGATAGACGCGATTTTTCACTTTATCATGACTTTGTAACTAAAATAAAAGAGCATGCATAAAATGAAATGTACTTGTGAAAACAAAATTTACATTCATACACTAGCTTTTCTCGTTACACCAAAGAAATCAGAGAGTGCTACTGATCACATATTACAATGTTCAGAGAGAGATAGTGTACTACGCTGTTAGAAGGGTGTTTGAGGAACAGTAAATAAAACTCTATACAGTAGATAATTGGTCTTAAGATCTATTACTTTATCTGATATTCAAGTCAAGGCCTCGAAATTGGGATGGAATAGTTCTGTAAATAATGGTAACACGTAATGACCTTGGTACAACAAGATTTGCGAATTCGAAGTAACGACAACAAATAACGGTCATTGTGAAAATATGAATTAAAAGTCTTATCACAGTAATCCGCACCAGCTAGAACTATCTTTTATTGACAAAAAAGTAGATTATTTGATCGTTCCTTTCGCAGTTTTACTTCATTACAATTAAAGTGTTTAGGGCTAAACAATGGTTGGACATCAGTCACTTTTGTTGCCTTAGTAAATACAGATTAACAACTAATTTAGATCCTTCAAGTTTAGCTCTACACGTAATAACACAATTGCTTACTGGGTGGTTTGAGCATATGCAACCTTTGATTATTCACCATTTTGAGTGTACAAGCTGCATTAGCACAAAACCTACTTTAATCAGTAAACTCAACTCTCCATAGACATCCGTATACCATAGTGTGTGTAGCGAAGGTCAAAAGTAATTTTTTTATTCACATTTAGGCTTTTATAGTTACAAAATTTTCAAGGTTGATGTGACTCTTGAATCAAATTTTAGTGGCTTAAATGTTCTGCAATCAAACTAGACGCCTTTGTAGATCAAAAGTGGGTCAACTATTTGACACCTGTAAAGTAAGACATTAAATATGTTTATCTTTCCGCTCAACTTGTTTGAAATATTACATTTTATTAATGTCTTCATCAATAAGCTATAAAATCCAAGAATAGTTTAGGCGATATCTGGTTGTTTGTGTAAGGTTTAATATGGAACAATAGATTGGAAATTTCGAGATTTCACTTTATCGGTTCGACTTTGAGGTTGCCGGCAAAAAACACAACACATAAATAGAGGACAGAATCAGATATGGTTTAGGATGTCTTTGTTAGAATTCTGGTAAAAAAATAATGTGGTCAAAATTTACGCTAAATTGACCACAAAATCAGAAACATGTGAATAACTTAGACTTTGTTGGCACAAAGATAGATTATGATAGAATGATGTGAAATTTACAAAATTGGTATTTGTAGGAGTCTATTTGAGGATATAAAGCATTATAAATAAATAAATAAAATGTCAAGTCTAAAAAATAATAAACTTAACATTTCGTGCACCAGTTTTAGTATCCATTTGGTATGATAACTTAGAAGAAATGACCATTATTAACTGAAAGAGAACACTGAACAGCAAAAAGTACTTACTGCTTTATAAATATCATCATTTTCTGGGAAATCATTTGGTTTTCTTGGCAATACATGGACGTGAACATGCTAATCATAACAACAATAATAATAATAACTATCATTATACCGAAATAGAAAACCATCAAGAATATAAATATTAATGGATCGATCAAAAAACTAGAAATACGTTTGTGTACTATTTATACAAATATTTGTCAACATTAGAACCAATGTTTGACAGAAATTGAACGCCGAGTATAGAGAAGATATTACAAGTAAAAACTATATTTGAATTAATCTCAGCAATTGAAATTTAATTAATCTCAACGATTCGTCCAGCAAACTTGTCTGGACTTCTTCAGGGTAATAACTAAAATACCAAAGGAATGTATAATGTTCAACAATCAAATCAAGTCTATACTGTGCTTATCCAGTCATATTCAGAAGTTGACTTCAGTAAGTAGGATAACATGAGTTAGTTATATGCGAATCATGTGAAAAGTTCACAATACGAAAATAAATGAATGATTGTGTATGTGCATATTGATACTAGGTATTAACTTTTTATATAAAGTAAAAATAAAAATACAAGCCGATATTGTTTTTGAACCGTCTGTGCGCATGTAAAATGAGAACCATAACATATATAATTGTAATGCTAAAATATCCCAATTAATTGCCGTCAGAATAACAATGCATGTAAAATAAACGGGTTGGATAGAGATAGGGTCCTATTACTTGCCCCCAAATGCCCTGGTACGGCCGAGAGTGGGGAGAGTCCACTCTCCCTCTCGAAATGCTCTCACATGCCCAGCGAATATATAGCCTCTGCCAGGGAAGTCCTACTCACTGCCTTCTCGTGGCGGGGGTGTTGTTTACGAAAGTGAGAGGACGAAAAGCGAATGTCCGGCGCTATAACCGGATTCGTGGACACGGAGGGTCCACCTAGGGGAGTTGGAAAACCCTCATTCCAAACCAATGGTGCACATGGGCTCCAGTATCCTGATGGAACGAATGGCGGAAGAACCTGCCATTGGTCAACGGCTACCATGGGACTGCATCTCCTCACGATGCTCCACTGCCTTGTGGATCAGTCCTTTAGGTCAAAGGCTCGGAGTGTGGTCCCCTAAGAAAACCACCTGCTTCGGTTTATGCACCCGGGCAGTATCACAGCCCACACACAAATGAATGAAATGATGAACTCTATTGACGATAATATCCCTGCTCATACTAAAAGCAAGACAATTTACATTATTATTACCTTTATTATTATTATTATTATTATTATTATTATTATTATTATTATTATTATTATTATTATTATTATTTACCATATCGCTAACTCACCCCCTTTCATCCCCAATTTGTGTAACCTTACTTTTCAACTTATGCAGCAGCTCGCCTATGATGGAAAATCTGTCCTATCTAAACGATCTCCAGTCACTGTCTGGTTGAAAGTGAATGCTTCCACCGATTATGAATACTGAAGCAGTCTTTCTGAAACCACGTACGCCGTTCAAGCTGGCTTCCTTCAACGTTCGCACACTAATGCAGATCGGAC